TACCCCGGGGGGTGCGGGGGGGGACGGCGGGACCCGCCGGCCCCGCGCACGAGGGGCGAGGGGGGTCCGGCGCCATCTGGGCCGGGGGGAACGAGCCGAGCTCGACCCCCGCCCGGGACCCGAGGGCAGCTCTCCCCCGGGACAGCCCCCGAGCCCGCCCGGCTGCGGCATTTCGCGGGCAGGGTCTGCCGGCCATGCTTCCCCCCGTGGCGCAGGGTGCCCCCCACCACCGCAAACGGCAGCCCTCTCCTCTCCTCGCCAGCCTGGAGCATCTGCAAAACGTGCGCTTAGCCAGACCCGGCTTCACCAAAGGGCTGTGCCAACGCGAGGGATGCCCACCTTGGGGGGGGAGTGTGTGTGGCAGCCCCAGCCCCATGGAGCAGACCTTGCAGGTGCAGTGATGTCCAGCTTGGGCAGAGTATCCTCCCCCCGCCCAGGTGGAACTGGGTTTCCCACATACACAAACTAGTTTTTGAATGGGAGAATGGGAAATGGAGTGCCATTTTTTGTCAATGGCTCTCGCTGACCCCTTCATGCAGCGCCGATAAAACCACTTCCAGATGGCCGTGTGGGGCAGTGCTCTGCTGCCGAGGATGAGCTGCCCTTTACTTGTCTCCACCAGAAAGCAGTCAGAAGTTTACATCTGCCTCGAGTCCAAAATGTAGCTTGCCAAAGTACAGCCTAAACTGCAAACATATGGCTTGAGAATCACGCTATCACCACCCCACGGACCATTTGTACGGGAGATAGCATCAAATCAAATACCGCCGCTATCATTTAAGCTTTCAGCTTCACTGCTGATTTTACTCCATGCTTGCAGCCGGTGATTTCTAAGCTCTTTTTTGTCAGTTCAGAGTTCTGGTTTCTAAAGTTACCATGTAGGAAGGCATCTTCTTACTCAGCAGATTTGCCCCCTGTTTGCATTCATTGTGAGAGCTGCTGACTTCAGTGACAGGCAAGTTTTTATTGCTTTTTGTTCCTGCCAGAACTGCAAAGCTCACAGAGCCGAGAGCTGCCAGCCAAACTCGGTCCCTTCTGCTGCATCATCACCGGGACTGGCTGCAGCCGCAGTCAGTGACTCCTCTGAAAGCCTTCGGAAGAAAATCAGAGCTATCTAAACACAATGTAAGCCGTAGTTTGACCTATATCACCTTCCTTCCTTGTCAAAAATACACGAGCAGAAGAACTGAGCTTGCTCTGATCTTAGCACAAGTTTTCAGGAAAGGTAATTAGGAAATATTTGCTTTACATGCAAATCGGTTACCCAAAAGGCATCCAGGCAGTTTCACAGTCACTTTGCAGAGCGGAACTGCACATGCACTGCTTTGGTGTCCAGATAGGAGCAAATACAGCAAGAGGATCCCTTTTACCCAGTATTTTTGAATTTTTCTCAGTGTCTGACTTTACCCAGTCACAAAAGCGTGAACTATGAAAAGGAAAAAAGTATCACTTACAAGATATTTTGTTTATATAATTTTGAGTATTAATGATTAAATGTTCATTCTTTCTTGTAGCAAACTCACAACTTCCATCTGCAGCTCACACTGGCACTGTACTCTCTCCTGCTAAACTTGGGTTGAATTTGAAGATTTCCTAGATGACCTCAGCATGTCTGGAAGACAAACCCACCAACAGGCAATGCGTTACCCACTAACATTTCTATGCCATGTGCTTGGGTCAGTTGGTGGACAGGCTGAAACGGTCCCTGGTTAGATGTACTGTTGTGTCCCTGCAGCCCTTTGCAGACAGAAGCGGGTGGCTGTGCTGGCTGTACTGCCCAGCACCGGACACCACACCACCCATCCCAGCAGGGACACATCCTTGCCTGATTGACCAGCCCTTTTTGAAGCAGGAGTTGGTCCTAGTGGACCAGGGGACAAAAAAAGGTGATGAAGAGAAAGCGAGCTGTAGTCCTACTTATGGGTTGGTTTCCATTAGCTATGTCATCTGTGCTCACTGCTGTATTTTGCTGTGGTGGGGAAAATGCTTTACTGTCTCCCTGGACTACGCTGTGCCAGCAGGAAGGTTTGACTTGTGAGATCAAATGCAATATTTGTCTTAAATGGCTTAACAAAGAAAAGTGCTCCCCTCTGGAGCGCTCCTTGTGCCCAGGTATGGGCAGCTGCAAACACCAATATTTCCATTTCCACATTTCTGTTGAGCAAAACAAATAATAAATTCCTTACTAGAATTAAGCAGTCCTATAGCTAGATGAGCATAAACTCTCCCTCATTTTTCAGAAGTCATTATTTTAAGACATATTCCCGTAATTAATTGGATTAGAGGTAGTGCAGACTTGGGATAACATATCTAAATTCATACTTCACTGCAAGCTGATAAATCCATTGAACCACAGTTTAAAGGCACTGCCAGTCATAACTTTGTCAAATACACCATGTTAGTAAATATGGAGCCGATAAACACAATTATCTACTTGGCTAACTGTATCACAGCAGCATTATCTTGAGAAAGCCAGAATGGCAGCCCAGGATGAGTAGAAGATATTGCCAGCCAACATAAACAAAGCTATGCCTACTTTGCTGCAGGGCAGCAATTTTTCTTCTGTCACCAACAAAGACTTTTTTTTGCTTGACTCGATCTGTATTTTTAGCATATATGGGAAATTATGCAAACTTCCCCAGTTTTTGTGGTTCTTTTCAGACCCACATAGACCCTTTTCTATGCTTTCTCTGAGGTTTTGGAGTTTGCAAACAAACTGCACACATCTTTCAAAGAAATAATAACTTGTATTACTTCAGCAGTCAGCTACTCAGTGGCTTAAAACCCAAGTCAGTAGTAAGAGCTGTCTTTGAAGTGCTACCAACAGCTGGAATAACAGCATGCTGTCCAGGTTGCTGTCTGAAAATAACCTGATTTACCTTATGCTGCATTTCTGCCTCAGCAAGTCCAGTTTATATGTTTCCTGACTTGAAAGATTTTGGAAATCAGAATGACACAAACAGATCTAGCTCAGGGCTTTGCTCCACTGCTCACGTGTGTGTGTAGCCCCAGGAAAATGAAATAATCTGAAAATTCACCTGTAACTGGGTTGAAAGCCCAGGGTGGGGAATGCGGTTTCTTTCCAGGTTAGAATAAGATTTTTCTAATGTTAGACCATTTCCATTTCCTTCTGTTTAAACCAGAAATAGCTCCGTTCGGTCTGAGGTCAGTTTTGCACTGAGCAGTTCAGCTCTACCTGAGAAAAAGAATAGCATCATATTAGCTCCCTCATCCCTGTGGTCTGGGAAGAGCCATCTCAGCAGCATGGATGGTGTGTGGCATGGCCACAAACTGCCCAAACTGGATGCCCACATGCTGCCGTGTCCCACCTGACCTAACAAGCTCAGAGGTGGGAAAGTGGCTTTGCCCACACAGTCCATTCCCTCCGTTTGGCTTCACACAGCTTTGCTCTAACACTGTAACATTGTGGGACAGAAAAGGATAGGGATGAGCACCCATGGGTGGGAAAGAGAGGTGGGGAGAGAACTGCTTCCAGCAGTTTAAGTGTCCCCATTGCCACACACGTGCAATCACAACACTGTCCTCAATTAGCTGCAGCCTATAAGAGGCAGTAATAAGGTCCTGGAGCCCAAATCTATTTTCAAACCAACATATAATCAGCATCCTGATCCCCCCCCTGCTCCCAGCCCCACAGGCTCAACCCTCCTTGCTACCAGTGCCAGGTCCCAGCTCATCCTCTGCCTCTTCTGGCAGGTCACCACAGGAGCTGCCAAGTGTCACTGCTAGCGTGAGGAAAGCTGTAGCTACAGGCACCCAGGGCAGAGGACAGGGTACAATCACTGTGGGCAGCTTAGCACGGCTGAGGCGGTATTGGAGCTACGGTCATTTTTCAGGGCAGGCTGAGAGCAGTGGTAATTGTCGGAGCCCTATTAACTGCAGGGGAATTACAGCAATTTGCACCAGCTCAGCTCTGCCTTCAGCCAGTGGAGTCCTCAAAACCCAGCTAACAGGCTGCCACGTCGCTGCACTCCCGGCAGGGTGTCATTAACCCTTCTTCTCAGGGAAGCCCCTTTTTTCTTTACAGTTCTTGCTCTGAGTGTTTTTGATCTGGTGTCACTGTAGACATGTTTAGACACTTCCTTGTTTCTCATGCCAAACTCTTGACTCAATTACAACTGTATTCACAGATTTACAATATGTTAAGCTAACTCTATTAAGACACACCATACAAATGTTTACTTTTGGCACATTTGGTCACTTAGTGGATTCTTGCTTCATTTTGAACCTGTGTACAGTTACCATCTCCGTTGCCTTCTCAAAGGAGATTCACTCCTTCCATGAGCAGATGGGCAAACACACCTTGGGCTGAGCCCTTAGGATGCTAATGAACTTTCTCTCCAGGGAGCCTTCCTGTACAGGAAAAGCACACCTCCTTGACAAAGGAATTTTAACACAGATTTCTTCTGGTTATACTAGAGTGGAAGGAGTACAATTATTTGCCACACTAGCATTTTTTTTAAATAATTGTTCCTTCCAGCCACCTTCCACAATAGTGGAACAACCTAGTGCCTTGGCTGGGTTCTTTGACAGTGCCCCAGAGGCAGCTGCCACACATTTACCCCCACCCTCGAAGCTTGTCACACCAGAATGAAGAGGGACCCTGTCATGAATTTCAGCAGGAGAAAGAGGATACCCCGATGTCCTCCCCTGATGCTGGAGCTAACTGCAGGAAGTGTGGAGGAGTAACCTCACAGGGATCTGGTAAAGTGTTTCCTCACTCTCCCATGCCTGCTTGCTGCCGCTGGAAGGTGTAAAAAATACCTGAGTATTTTTGATCAGTCCCTCTGCTGTTTCCTAAATACAAGCCAGCGGGTCCTCTGGGTACTTTCAACAAACCACACACTAAAGCTAAGGAAATAGACAGTACACACCTGAGGGCATACCTGATCCCAGATGCATTCTTCCCCTGGCACACAGTGCAGAGTTCTTATGGTGTGGAGTTTGGGTTTACCACAGCTCCATACTCTCTTCTGGCCTCCAAGCCACAGCTGACGCTCCTCTGCCTGCAGTGGGTTCCTCCGGACACCTAACCTGCCAGAAAACTCTTCCTTTTTTCAGTAGAGCTTGTTTTCTCCTGGTTTATCTCCCTAACTTGGCTCTTTGTAGCTTAAAATGAATAGTGAAACACCATGGCTTGCAACATCCTGCTAAAGATACAGCAATAGCACAGGACAGCTAAGTAAGATCAGCCCTGAGTAAGACCAGCCAAACCACTATGAAAGTTTCCCAGGCCAGGCAGCCTGCACGCCTC